ACAATATTATGAATTGCCTGAGCTAGACATGGAAAAGAAGGCAAAACATGCCCTTTTATGGGGTTGAGTGTAACAATCACCCCATTTTGCACCGGGGAAGAGCAACATTTTTTGAAAGAAACGAAATCACTATTAGCTCAGAGGCTGATGACAATGCCAAATGAAAGATGAACTAGCCGTCTGGGTGGCGCGCGAATCGAGATATTTCATAAGGTTCAAATTTAGAACGTATATTATAACAATAATCAGCTTTGTCGCATAATCCGACTCGGAATTGATTTTTATCAGAAATGAAACCCGATACCCGTTTTCAATTTCTGTCGCGAAATTCCATCAGATTTCGATTTTTCGAGCATAAAACAAGCTTATTATCGAATCAGCTGTTTGCACTTTAGGTCTGTTTTCTCTTATCATGCGCCTAAGATTGGGTCGTAGATTAGGAATCTGTATACCAGTTTTCCAAGACATAATAATTTTTATCAAAAAAATAAAATTTCTACAGGGAAAAAATTAAAAGAGAATAACATATTTTTGTTATATGTATTTTTTTCATTTGTATTAAAGCCTGTTCCTTTGCAGAAAAATCAAGCTACTAATGATGAAATCGATAGATAAAAAAAATACATGAATACATATGTGCAGGGAACGGATTTTATGGAAATTGCCTTTTTTTCTGCTAAAGAGATAGAGTATATTCGATTAAGAATGTCCACGATTTAGCTTTCCCTAATTCCATATATACACATTTGATGTTGCCTTTTTTGCCTTTTTTAAGAAACATATTTGCCTTTTTTTACCTTTTCTACCTTTAAAAAAGTGATTATAGCATTTACGTTTTTTTGTTTTTAATTAAAAAATATACACATGCCCATGCGGCTTATAGAAGCGCAGAGACCTCTTGCCAAATTGGTGTTGGAAAAATTCAAAGCCGTTTTCTCAGCTAACGTAGGCTTGGAGACAATAAGGGGTAAGGGGTGTGGATAAAATTGTAAAGGGCGAGGAAAACGCCCTTATTCCTGATAATATGAACGTTTCAAACGTTCCATATTTAAATTGGGCTCCACTTGCATCAACATATGTCGAGCGCACATTTAGTACATTCAAGGCTTTTCTTCGCGAACATCGAATGAAAATGCTGCCAGAAAACTTCAAAATGCATCTTGTGGTTCAATGTTACTACAACTATACAGATTAATGTTTTATGAGTTAGAAACATGAAAGCATAAAATAGTCAAAGATTCAAAGTACAAATTTGTCATATAATGAAACTAGTTCATAGTGTTTCTCTTTTTACTTGTAATCAGAGTACTAAAATAAACTGTACAAAACAATTCCCATTTGCTCATCGATCATCATATCACTTGCGGTTTTGTACAGTTTTGTACATAGTCAGAAACAAATTGTAAGATTCAATGTCATTTTCCCCAACGAGAAACGTTTGCTTTTCATTTGTGGCATTTGTACTATAGGGTGATATCACAATCGTTTCAATTACGTGAAAAATAAACCACAGAATAGTTTTAATAAAATGACCACAGAATAAAAAAATTTTAATATTAAGTAAACAAAACTGGTTGAAAAAATCGATTTTTTAACAGTATATTTTGTTTTGCTGCCTTTGTGCTTAAGTACACATTTAAGATACCTACCCCAAAATACGCATCCGCGGCATTATTTTTAACATTTATAAGGAAACTGCTCCTGCACTGGCTAATTTTAAAAGTTTTTATTGATTTTGCTCATCTCGCAGAAGAACGAAAACGGCTATCATTTTCCTGTCCTGTTCGAGGCACGTAATAAAAGCGGCATTACTGCCGTACTGATGAAACATTGCAACGTGCCTTTTCGGTTAAGCGCACAAGTTTTTCGTGCAAAGCAGGATGGGCAGCTAGGCAAAATATACTGTATTTCTGTCACTTGTATTATGAACTTCTTTCAACCACAAAATACATTTGTTGACTTAAGTTTTTTTTGCATCGAGCTAAAGTATTATTAAATGCGTACGAATTTAATTTCTGTCTTTTGTTTTGTTACTAATGAAATATTTTTCACTTTAAATAAAAATTAGGTTTCAAACCCATTTATTTATTATTTATCATTTATTATATGGTAGGAGAGCTTCTCAAGTTGTGGAAAAATATTGAATATCCAAACCCGGACTAACACCGGGATTCCGGGATTGTATAAACGAGACCCCTAAAATCCTAATCTTACATACATATGTATCTAAACGAAAAGCCTGTACACCAAAAAATTTCGAATTAGAATGATAGAGTTGTGGAAATAGAGAAGAAACTTTCGATGGCGGCTGCAACTATTGATAGTAACAACCTAGAAACGACACTATCGATAGTGTCGATAGTGGCAATAAAAGGCAAACCATCAATACTATCGATAGTGCCATCGATAGTTTTCCAGCTCTTCTATGTAGTACATACTCGTGCATGGCATATGAGTATAGTATCGGTAGTTTACAATTTCACATCACTATCAATAGTTGGAAATACGATCAAATGGCGGCATACATATGCACTGAAAGTTCAATTCAAAGAATTTGTTGCTGGCAAATGGCTCGTGTAAAAAATATTAAAAGGCTGAATTTCTTTATTCATTCTGAACGTTTGGAATAAACTTTTTTGTTGACTTATTCTTTAGAACGTTCCTTATGATATGTTAACGTATATTTCAAACGCATTCTGTTTATTCTGGCTGTGAAATGAGATTATCTGGAATGTAGAAAGAAACACAGCCAAAATGTTTCAAATATGTGCATGTATATAGACATGATTCGCTTTCTGGGTCAAGTAGGAGAATTCACGTAAGTATTGATGGAGTTTTTCGGCTGGTTTGTTCAAAATAAAAAAAAGAGTTTACTTTTTATCTTACGCGCATGGATGTATTATATTATGTAATACAACAAATTTCAAAAAGTGGAACATATATATCTAGTAAACTCATACGACACTATCGTTAGTTTATTTTTAGTTCCTTATTGATAATTTTTTAGCTGAAACCGATACTATCGATAGTTATCCTTAAACCATCGAAATTATCGATAATTTTGCAGCTCTAGTATTGACGTACAAAATCGATTACAAGTAAACTGCTGACACAGTGCTCAGAAATTTAATGAGCGGATAACAACTATGTATATAAATTGTGCGTAAAAGAATTTCAAAATTAAAAATTTGTTTTCAGGGCTTATACTTAGCGAGAAGTTGACACACTTTTCGGTGCTTATAAGCGGGAAATGCCTATGTCGAAACTTTTCGTGCATATTAAAAAAGGAGAAGTTTTCTTATAGTTTTTCCAGTGTATATTTAAATAGGCGAAGTTTTCTTACAGTTTTTCCAGTGAGTTAGAGGAATTGCTTATAAACAAGAAATATGTATTTTGAATTCTGTTTTCATTTCTTAGTTGTGACCTATATTCGATTATTCCCTTTTTTAGAAAACCGGGTTTCCAGTTGTTCGAAAATTTTCAATTTGAAAAAAAAATCGGTTCGCTCTTTACAAATTAAGAAACCACCCGCATTAAACGGTTTTATTTTACCTATTTTCTCTTCAGTAACAGTTACTGTTAATCAGAAATCGTGACCAAAATTAGAATACGAGTGCTAAAAGTAGGTATAGCTTTAATTTATATATTAGCAAAATAAGTTCGAAGCAGTTTGAACTACAAGTAAAACAGAAGAAATTGTGAAAAATTCGCTTTCGATGGGGTTCACCAATTTTAACTAGATTAGTCGTTATAACAACAGTGTATTATCGGGACAAATTCGGGCATGTAGAATCGACTGTCTTGGGAATGAGAATATACCAACCGCTGAACCAGACCGACTATACAAATACAGGCCATTCATCGAGAATTAATCGACACTTGTGTCAACCCTCGCCTCTTGATTTCCATCATCGGAGACCAACGCCACCGAGCTCGAGATGCCTTCACCCAACTCCACTCTGGATATTGTAGCAGGCAAATCTCTCCAATCTAATTTGAAAAAGATTCCCGACGACACTAACCACCACTGTATACGTATGTCCATCTAACATCCCTCTCCCTACGACGGCCCGAAAATCTCTCATTTTCCAGTGTCTGCCGTTACATAAATTAATACGGTAATATGACAGTTCATTGTATTTTTCTATTATTTTTCTTCATTTCCTCCCTTTGATTTTTTTAACCGACTTCAAAAAAGGGGGAGGTCGGAATATTTTTTTTTATGTATGTTACCGCATAACTTTGGACCACGTCAACCGATCTCGAAATTTTTTTTTTTGCATCGGGAAGGTAGTGACTCAGAGGTGGTCCCATACTTATCTAGTTTCGATCAGATCATTAGATCATGAAAATATTAACGGTGCTCCTAATTTTTTATATGATATTTGAAGTCGGCTTTGTTTTTTGCTTAAAAATTACTTGTTCTATCTCTATTTCTCTGACAACTGAGTTCGATAAATTTCCGAATAAAATTAGGGACGGAAACGATTTGTTCGTAGTTCGCTTGGTTATTGGTCCAATGAGCGAGCTAATTACGAATAAAACACGCAGTGGGGATTTAGTATAAGCTGCTCCAACAAGAGAAAAAACCGTGAAAGAATTTCATTCGGTTTTCCCTTTACGTTTTAAGTAATTTTCTGCAATGGAGAATTTCTAGTATTTATATCAAAGATTAATAACAAATTTCTAAGTAGTTCTATTTTCAAAAAAAATTATATTTAGAATTTTTATATTCTGGTATATAAATAAAGTAGGCGAAAACCCGGTTTATTCTATTGTACAAATCCGGTCAGTATTCGAAAAATCAAGGTTTCAAAAAAAAACCGCAAAAAAAACGGTTGAAACCGGTTTGGAAAACCAGAGTCAATAACCCGACTAAATGAAGTAAATCCGTTTATATATTAGCTTTTTACTAAACTAACTACTATTATATGTATGACTAGATATATTAGTATCTATATTATTAATATAAACATGTATGTATTACCTTTCTGTTGCAGTTCCTCTTGAAATCGGAATGCTGACACGCGAGCACTTCAATCGTTGGTACGGTCTAGCACCTTATTTCCTTTCGTTGCTTTCTTTTGAAATACCTTTTCAGGTGAGTAATTTCTTAACGAAACCAACAAAAAAAAAACAGTAGATATGTACATATGTTCATATTACTAGGTACTATATACGTATGTACATATGTATTTAATTTGTATGTACTAAGTTAAAGCATTTGGTAGCAAATTGCGAAAAAGGGTTGACAAAAACAAAGATTTAAAACAGAAATCGAAATTCATCACATACTTGTAATACCGGTAAACAAATTACTAAAGCAAAGTTCATTGGACTTGAAGTTTGTTGGCCTAATTCGTTCAATCCACACTCGTACCATAGCAATCAAACTTCAGCCGGCAATATGCACATTTTCCGGTTTTTAGTTGCCGGTTTTTTATAACTGCAGAAGAATTCATGCACATGTATGAGTGTATATTATCTATAGGTAATAGGAAGACAGGGCCAAATTTAAGCATAGGTCGACAGGGACTTGAATCGGGCCCCACATGACATTCTCGAGAAAATTTGTTGTTAGAAAACTCTAAATGTTCAAACAACTTTTGCCATTAAAATTTTTGGAAGAATCTTAAAAAACGTGTTTTGCCAGTCCTATGCTCACATTCTTTAATTTTTTTGACTTTGCAAAAAACGTCATCGAGAGTGTTACAAAAAAGCTGCTCATCTGTAGTTTGACATATTTTTAATTTTTTTATTTACCAGATTTTATATAACTTTTTCATGCCGGGGAAATTTGCAATCGATTTTAAACTTACCTTCCGTTAATCCAGAGACTTGAAACTTTCGGCATAGTTCCGGTTAGTGATGGGCGCGGACCCTATTTTTGCGGCCCGGCCCGGCACGAGTGAAGAACACCTATTCAAAAACACGCACGAACATTCACGCGGAATATCAGTGAGGCGTGGCGCGAAACAGCCCGCCACGACCGAACCCGATTTAGCACGGCTTATATTGACTTCCACCAAAAATGTTTCCTTTAACGAAAAAATTAAGCATTAAATTAACTAATATTTTTTTACTCAGAAAAGTTTCATGATAAACTTCGTGTTCAGAAAATTAGAGGCATATCTACTTATCTTATGTTTTAACTTTGTTAGAGATTTTCAAAAGTTTTTCTTCCTTTCCAGCCTTTACACTTTACAGCTTAATATTTTAACAAACAAAGGTTTTCTAAGTTTAAGTATAGTAAATTAAGTAACGAAAATACCCGTTTACCAGCTATCTGAATACAACTCGCAAAAATTTCAAATCATTTGCCCGTTGGCGAAACTCGAAAAGTGTCAAAGTCAAAACGCGAAGTGGTTGCTAAAATACCCTAATTTCAATATCTACTTTCTTTCTACCTAGTATTTTTTGCCCATATAATTTAAGAGCTTTTTCGTTGTTTTTGGTGTTTTGCTAGAAATTCACCACGAGCTCGTGCCGAAGTCAAACTCTCCCGCCCCGTACCTGCGTGCTTTAGCCGGAGCCCGCCGGGCCTATGTCGAAATCTCGGGCCCCATCTCTGATTTCGGTAAAGGCTCAGTTACTCATGTTTAAGCTAATTTGACTTGACTTGTGACGTCTTATATAATGATCAAAATACATGGTCGAACATAACCTTACTTGAAAGTCTGTTTATTTTGATTTCTACATAGGTGGGGCATTCGATTGTCTAGCAAAAATTAGAGGGAAAAAAGAGCAGAAAGTATGTGTAATTGTTATTGAAACAAAAATATATTGATAATTGAAGGAAACGCATTTCGTTTCTCTGAATAATGTCGCATTTATTCTGCCCTGTGCCAGGGCGCTCTGATTTTCACATTTTCTCTCGGTTCTTTTCGCAACATGTTGCCTCTGGCCCGACAAAAGTGCAACATTTTGTGCCCTTGTTAAATTGTAAGCGCGAGTCTTGCCTTGCAGATTTTGATTATTTTTATACCCGAGCGCACTTGTGCACAAGGGTATTATAACTTTGTTCACATAACGGTTGTTTGTAACAGGCAAAACGAATCGAGATAGATATAGACAAATGTATACATAAATGATCAGAATGAAAAGAGAAATCGATTAAGCGGTGACTGTCTGTCCGTCCGTCCGTCCGTCCGTCCGTCTGTGCACACGATAACTCGAGTAAAAATTGAGATATCTTAACGAAACTTGGTACGTGAACTTCTTTTGGGCGTGGGACAGATGGTATTGAAAATGGGCGAAATCGGATAATAACCACGCCTACCTCCCATATAACGGTAATTTTAAGAAATACGAAAACTGCGATATTTTAGTAACTACTGAAGCTAATTCACTCAAAATTGATACTTACAATGAGTTTCAGACGGAAAACATGAATATTATAAATTTTTGGAAAATGGGCGTAGCCACGCCCACTTATGGTTACATGTGTATATCTTGGTAACCGCTGCACCAATTTCCTCCAAACTTAGCACAGTTGTTGGCCTTAGTACAGCTTACTAAATGGCTGAAAGTTTTAAAAATCGGACAATAACCACGCCTACCTCCCATATAACGGTAATTTTCAGAAAAACGAAAACTGCGATATTTTAGTAACTACTGAAGATAATTCACTCAAAATTGATATTTGCAATGAGTTTTAGACGAAAAATAAGAATATTACAAAATTTTGGCAAATGGGCGTAGCCACGCCCACTTATGGTTACATGTGTATATCTTGGTAACTGCTACACCAATTTCTTCCAAACTTGGCACAGTTGTTGGTCCTGATACAGCATACCAACTGGCCGAAAATTTCTAAAATCGGACAATAACCACGCCCACATCCCATATAACGGTAATTTCGAGAAATACAAAATCTTCGATAAATCAGTAAATATTGAAGCTAATTTATTCAAAATTGATGATTGCAACAATTCTTTACCAAGAAATACGTTTATGACAAAATTTTGGAAAATGGGCGTAGCACCGCCCACTTATGATCACGTATATGTATCTCGCTAACCGTTCTAGCAATTTGTACCAAGCTCGGTATGGTTATTGTGCTTGCCACATAAAAGCAAACCGTTGAAAATTGTTGAAATCGGACTAAAATTGAGGCCGCTTTTCATATAACGGTAAATTTCAGATATGCTTGAAACTGCAATATTTCGAAATTTAAGGACGCTAATTTACTTAAAATGTATACACCCCGGCTTACCATCTAGCGGAAGGTTTCGGAAAGGTGGAAAAACATATATTTAATACTTGCGCCGGGTATTTAATGTTCGGCTCCGCCCGAACTTAGACTTTCTTACTTGTTTAGTAACTATTCTTCATAAATGAATAATAGAAGTAAGTTATATAATTTTAATAAAATTAATAAAGTAATTTGTAAATAAGTTGGTGGAATCATGATTTTTGAAGTTGGCATTATTTTTGTTCTTTTCTTATACATTAAAAGGAACCTTTTTACAAGGCGCAGGGGAACATTTACATTTATGAGTTGCATTCGATTTTCGTTCTTCGCTGGCTATCGAAGATCGAAAGTGAAATGCGTATTATGAGCTATGCAAGCGTGTCGAAATTTTCGTTGAGTATCGAATTTTCTGTCGAACAGAATTTTGCTTTCGTTGGTGTAGCGAAATGTTAGAAAATTTTAAAAATGTATGATTTCGCATTTGTTTTCTTACTTTTTGGCGGCTAGACACTAATTTCAAACAATTTGTATTAATTTCAAGCAGTTCTAACGTCGTGAATAGTAAACACAAGCTCGAAAGTCTGGTTTTACCCATGAAAGAAAATCCCTATACGTTGTTGGCACGATTTCTGAAAACAAAATCATGGAGCTGTTTATAGTTTTAATATATTTTAAATAGATTTGGATCACAAAATTTCTTAAATATATTGTATGCGAAAATATATTCGAAATACTGCACTTAAACTCTCACGTTTTCTGCTCCTGGCCAGTTTTTTAAGCCCTCATCCTCTGAAGAATCGTTCAACCATTACTCCGTTGTGCTAATTAAAATTTTTTTTTACCACGCTTTTATAAACTCGCTTTCTTTTTTATTTTATTTTAATTTGCACAAATTTACATATCAAGCCCTAACCGCCAAAATAACGTAAGCGACATTTTTTTCAAAATTTTCTTTTTGATGCAGAAATGTATCTAGATCAGTGCCCGCCAAAAAGAGAAAAGTCTTAAAATGAGCATGTATTAGTTATGAAACAAAAAATGAGAATGTGTTGGTGGTAATGCACGGAAAAAAATTTCTGTGTTTTATTACTTATTATAAAAACTTTGGTATGTTTTTTTCATTGTGCGCTATTTTTTTTAGATCTAAACAACATAGAAACATATAATGAAAGTTAACGGCCTTAAGAAAGGAAAAAGTTGGTAAAATTTTGTATGTATTGTACAAAATTATTATTTTTTTATGTGGATTTCTGAGCAAAAAAGATAACGTGCTCTCTGAATATTAAAAGAAAATTTCGTTGATTTCAAGTAGAAATAAAATAAAAATATATATATCTAATATATATTTATTTTAAAATTAGGTAAAACTTGACATTTAAGAGCAATTTAAAATAACGATTAAACCAAAAGATAAATAACAAAACATATTGTATGTTTTAATTGAGGACTAGTCTGGTATTAAAAAAAAAAATACATAATTCACAAAGTTCTTTTAATGTGAAGAAAAAGCACGACTTGGTACCATATACATACCTATTTCTAGGGGTGTATGTACGAAAAATTGTGTTATAAAATTTTTGAATGAATATTCATTCATTCTGCTCAGCGTACCTACTTTATTCAACAATAATGCGTCACCAACCTGCTTCGCCTATTGTTTGCATGCAACTAAATAAAATTTGTTGCTCTTCTACTCTTTCTGTTGACGTTCGGATTGTGTACGTGTAAGAAGCCGATTGTGTACATGTGAAAGGCCGAATATAGTTCCCAGGAAAGTGTTTGGCGGGCACTGATCTAGATGCTCTAGGAATATTTCTGCATCAAAAAGAAAATTTTGAAAAAAGTGTCGCTTACGTTATTTTGGCGGTTAGGGCTCGATATGTATGTACATATGTATAAGCACACTA